TCGATTCTTGGTCCGATGTAAAGTCAGGCGAAGTAGTAAATAAGAGACCTTTTACATCGGTTTTGGGTCCGATGTGAAAAGGACACCCTTTACATCGGTTATAATATATACCTGATGTGAAAAATAAATATAATATTTTTTTTTGAAAACTGACGCAACATATTACATCGGTGGAAGTCATGACCGATGTAATAGATGAGGTTTTTACATCGGTTGTTACACTGTGCCCGATGTAGAAAACACACGTTGAAGGTTTTTACATCGGTTGACAGAATAACCGATGTAAAAAGTAAAAAAAAAAAATTGAATAAAACATTTATTTTCTGGATGATTCCCTGTAAGAAAAAATTGGTACCAATTTTTTTCATATTTTTCCAATATCACACAGACCATTTAGGTTGCTATATATATCATAGCTTTCCAACATAAAATGGACCATATCTAGGTCGATATTTTCACAACAAAATTTACAAAATGAACAATTATATTGCAAACTTGAATTATATCACAACAAAGAAACTCACATCAATTTTACAAATACTACAAAACATACAAAAATATTCAACCTTTTACAAGTCTTTTTACAAACTTGAATTACCAATATAAAATTCATAAGTAGATGAGTTGTAGCTTCTGTAGACAACACCAAAATCACATTACCTGACAATAAATGATAACAATTAACATCAGCAAAAATTATCAAGAAACTCAATGCATTTACAAAAACCATGTAAAGGTTAATCTTTCTATAAAACTCACCAGATAAAGGTTAATCTTTATATAACTCAAAGAAACATTTTGACCAACGAAGACGTAAATCATACAAATCATCTTGTGTTAATTCTGTGGAGTCATCAAATACCTATAATACATAAATATAACAATAGAGTTATTCTTTAAAATTTAATATAAATAAGTTGCAAAACACAAAGTAAATAACAAAGTAAAGTTATTGTTATTACCTGCATCCAATTCTCGGTTATATTGGCAGAGACAATATCCAACATATTTTTCATCACATAATACCCACAATCATTAGAGTTATGTTGTTGTCTTGTCTATAATTGAATGACACGATTAGTGAATATTTATCATAAATTTAACTATAAAATTACAATTTACATCACACTTACATTGGGATGAAGCCATGTAGCCTTTTTTCTATTTCCATTTGCCATTTGATGAACCCCAAAAGAACTAATACAAACATCACATAATTAAATTTATTTGCCAATGAAAAATCACATAAGTATTAATTACCAATTCAAGACATACACGATAAACTTACTTTGTAATAATTTTCTTCGTGTTCTGATCAATTTCTCGATGAAGTGAACAAAATACGACCACTAAATTGTCTCTTGGACACATGACTATTAATTGCCAATGATTCCTGTACGTGTGTATGGAAATAGAGAAGTCACATAAAATATAGATGTTATCAAAATTAAATAATATAAAACACAATTTCATAAAAACTCTTACCCATGAATCAATGGTAGTAAGTGGCACACTCTATTTTCATCACGTAACTTTTGTAGTACGTAATTCTTAACATCCACTTGAGATTTCGGTACATTATCATTATAAATACACCTCGCAGGATCCATAAATCCATATAATTCTGAAAGGGAATTCTCAAGACATACACGATGAATATACCTGAATAATTTTAAAATAAACATTAGAATCAAAGTGATGAGAGATATAACATATTAATAGAGATTGACTTTAATAAAACAATAAAATGTACTTACGTGCACCAAATTTGCAGAACAGACACGTCAAGCCAATGACCTAAACCCACCAATAACTCTCTGATACACTTAGCTGACATAAGTAAATTAGGGACATTCGGACAATGACTTAATTGTACTTCCAAATTGTTGTCATTCATTTTCAAAACCATGAGTAACAATCTCTGAGCATCATCAACTTCCACGTCTTTTGCGCTTCCTTTTGCAGCTGAACAACTTCCTCTTCCGCTTCCATCGACATATCCCATCTCTTTAATGCATTTAATATTTTATGTGCTTTTTGATAAACCCATAGACTTAAGTGTCTCCATTAAAGTATCATACGCATGTGTCTCCATCTCCTGGGTACAATGATTTATCCTTGTCACTGCATAGAGTATCATACGCATGTGCCCTCTTAAACGAATCTTGTCCAATATCACGCATCATGTCTTCTAGACGATCATCCATTTCTACACTAACATCATCTCTTTGAGACACATTTGACTTTGCTACTACTTCACCGTGCCATATCCATTCTGTATAACTTTGACAAATCCCTAGACAAATTAGATGATCCATGATTTCTTTCTTACTACGTTTTGGTTCTTTATTTGCACAACGAACACATGGACAGAGAAAAAGCGCAGGAAGACTTTGTTCAGCATTACTTTCAGCAAACTGTAGAAATTCCATCACTCCATGTTCGTATTTGTCACTTAATCGATTAGCTCTCATCCAACTACGATCCATACCTATGTTCGCACGGAGGAAGGTCAGACGAAAGGTGTGCCCGCGGCTGCGCTACTTCACGGAGATTCCAAGATCGCAAGTTGCGCTGCTTCGCGGAGAAAGAAAAATAGAATCAATGACATGAAATGTGTATCGGAAGATGTCTATTCACTTTGCAAATAGTACACCCCAATAAATAAAACAAAGACACATAAATGGACAAAACCTAATTTCCGATCTCTATCATTTATTTCCCTTCCCTTTCCACGTCAGAAGTAATGAAAAAGGTCTTAAATCCTTTGAAAAGAAGTAAGCGGTTACTAAATCTAGTGAACAAATTAGAATAGTCTATCTTTTACAAACACAATAATTATTATGAGTGATAGTTCTTGCTAATGGCCAACTAAATAATTATTGGGTTGTTGTTTGTTTGATGTGGTTTTATTGAAATATATAACTAGTTCAAGCAATAGTTCTTTTAATGATGGTTTTAATTTGTTTAAATATGAAAGGGATGGAGGAAGATTGTCTTTCTAGTTTAAAGTAGTGATATATTTTTTTTGTAAAAAAGAGAGGTTTAAAGAGAGTAAATAGAGAGTTAGTTGGTTTGCAATTTTGTGGACTCTTTATTTAGTTAGGAATGAGATTTGTTTTCGTAATAAAGTATGAAATGTAGATAATACGGTATGGAATATCAAAATTTTAGTTTTGAGATGGTCTATTTTGAGAGATATTACTCAAACCAATTATAATTTCTACAAATTTAGTAAAATCCTTTAGTTACTTTTGTCATAAGTCGTTTGATTTGATAATCTCTTTTTTCTCTGATCATTCCCATTCTTGTATAAAAAAGTTTGAAAATCTTTACTTCTTTTTTATATAAAATCCTGCTTAAAAAAATTAATTATAATGATTTTTATTCAATGAAGAATAAAATGAAATATATTAAATTATCATTCTTAATAAATATAAAAAATTTAATTAATACTTAATGTTCCCTCTTATTTAATACTATATATATCTTCATGTCTATCATTTATTCTTTGCTATCACGTTCTATTATTTTTCCAGATATGTTATTTGCTTGTAATAAATTATTATTTAATAAATTATGTAATAAATTATGTGTTAATTGAAATAACATCTATATGTATGTAACAAATTAAAATATACATGTGACAGATTATACTATATGTAACGTTAATTGAAATATATGTAATAAATTAAAATACTTAAGTAACAAATTATGTAAAAAAATAATTGAAATGTAACAAATACATACTATAGGCTCACGTGATATACTATAAATTAATTTTTTGATTATTAAAATGGAATTTCACTTATTTTTTAAATATATACAATAAGTTCTAAAATTAATTTATCATTTAATATATTTTAAATTTTTTTTATTTCATATGTTTTTAATAAATTAATTTTAGTTCCAGTTAATTCTAAACAAATTAATTTTAATATAAAAAATATTATTTGATACACTAAAATTTAATATTATTAATTAAAAGTTATATATGACAACAAGTTTAAACTGTTATTAATTATGAAATAGTTCAAACAAAATATATATGGCAAACAATTAACTAATATTTAAGTAGCAAAATAATAGAAAGAGAATACATAACATTTAAAATAATTCAAAAAATAATCATAAAGTCACCGTTAGTCTTTTTTTTCAAAAGATGAAAACCAATAATGTTTTCCCTCAAACATGTGAGATTTCTTTCTTCTAAAGCCAGTCAAATATAAATATATTTTGGTTTAGAGGGACGATTTCTTGAATGGTATGCGCATATGTTCTCATTTTAAAAAAATAGTTGATAAATTTTCATTTTTTTAAATACTTGGATCAATAGTTCATTTTTTCCGTTTCATATAATTTCCATAATAGAAAAAAAAATTAACTATTTTTTTTTAATCTTTGACTCACTACAATTATCAAAATTAATTATAATTATATAAGAGAACACATTACTATTCATCATTAGTTACATTCTTGGTCTTACATTCTTGAACTGTAAGTTTCTTCAAGTTGAATGTTTTTTAACCAAATATTCCAAGTGCCAAATGATTATTAATATTATAATTAGATTATTGGGTAACACTTAAAGAACTCCTGGGTGATATATCCATTTGGTCGTTGTTCAGGAAGAAGCAATCTGTAATGGATAGTAAATATAACAGGAAGATTGAAATGATTTTTCCTCACCTTTGATACAAGACATATTCAGTCGATATACCACAAGTACTTTTTAAACAAGATAATATAATAGAGAAACACTTTTGTTTCTTAATTAACAGGTCGAATATGCAAAAACTTAATTACTCTAAATTCTTGGGAATATATTAATCAATGAGTTATTTGGGATAAGTTTTCATTTGAATTTTACTGTAAAATTTTCATAAACTATCAAAATTTCAAGAACAAAGAAAGAAAATACCGGAAAAAAATGATAAAAGTTGAAAAAGAAGGCGATTTACCGGAAGGAGGAAGACGAACCGGCGGAGGAAGACGAATCGATGGAGGAAGACGCACCGGCAGAGGAAGACGATCTGGCGGAGGTAGACGAACCGGCAGAGGAAGACGAACCGGCGGAGGTGTGGAGAAGACGACGGAGACGGCAGGTTTGTGGGCTGAACAGTGACGCGGGTTTGTGGACGGCGAAGGGAGGAAGCGATTTGTGGAGAGACGGCGGAGATGGTGTGGAGAGACGGCGGGTTCGTGGGCGGAGAACTGTGATGGCGAAGGGAGAGAGCCGTTATGTGGTTTAGAGCGTGTATAGGGTTTTTTTGAGAAAAGGGAAATGAACAGTGTTAGGGGGTTTTAAAAGTTTATATGGTATCTTTTACATCGGGTATGACGTGGACCGATGCAAAGCTATGAACGTGGAGGAGTTTTTACATCGGGTATGACGTGGCCCGATGTAATAAATTCCATTTATTTTATTAAATTTAATCACTTTATTACATCGGTTGATAGAATAACCGAAGTAATAGGCCAGCGAAAATTCTTTTACATCGGTTATTCTCCAGAACCGATGTAATAGGCCAGCGCAATTTTTTTCTCCATAATTACAGAAATGCCACCGTGTTTTATTTTCTAATAAAAAAGAATATTTTTTATTTCATTGGAAATTAATACCTGATGTAATAACTTTTAAATTTTATTTTTTACATCAGTTATTTTTATACCTGATGTAAGGACGTTTTCTCAAATGTCATTTTTTTAGTAGTGTTTGAAAAATAAATAATTTTATATATTAGATCTAACTCATTTTTTAATATTAATTAAAAAAGTATATTAAATTCTTATGTTGGATCTAATACATTTTTACAATACCCATTTTAAAAGTATAAATATTTAATTTGTATATTGAATTTAACATATATATATATATATATATATATATATATATATATATATATATATATATATATATATATATATATATATATATATATATATATATATATATATATATATATATATATATATATATATATATATATATATATATATATATATATATATATATATATATATATATATATATATATATGAAAACCAATTTATAAAATAAAAAGTGTTATTTTATAAATAATTTTTAGATTATATCTTTGTTTTATATAAAATTTGGATTTTTCTCAATACGTTTTAATGTATCTATCACTATGTATTTGGTGAGTACCTCCTTGATGATAGATGAAATTTAGTTTTTTCAATAAATCCTATGACTTTCAATATTATTGAGTTTGATATTATATATATAATTAAGTATATGTTAGTGCCACAATGTATATTTTTATAAAAAAGTGACATGACATTGAATTATAGTGTTTGATTGGTTGAAGGTACCAATACTCAACTAAATATAAAGGTATCGAAATATTCTCCATTATTTAAATAACTAAAACTGATAAACAAATATAATTGGCCAAATACTCATATTATAGAATAATAACTCAGTGCCAAAAGTCTACTGAAATGCCCTTTAGTAGTCCACATTTTAAAGGTGATAAGTGATATATTTATTATAATTATCAAATAACGGGTCCATGATATATTAATAACTTCTATAAATGAAGGTTCCTACTTTCAACCAAAATGATCAGAACCAATAGTAATTATCTTAGAGAGATTCAGTTAAAAATGGCAGAAATGCAAAGTGAGGTAACATGGTTGAACAAGGAAGAGAAGGAAGAAAAAGAAGAAGTAGAAGCTCAAGTTGAAATTTGGAAATACATATTTGGTTTTGTAGAACTATCTGTGGTGAAATGTGCAATCCAACTTGGCATAGCTGATGCAATTGAAAAGTACAAAAAACCCATATCACTATTAGAGTTATCATCAACTCTAAAATGTGACCCTTCATATCTTAACCGCATCATGAGATTCCTAGTACATAGGAAAATATTCAAAACCATTTCTACCAACCATGACAACTATCCTAGTTATGTTCAAACCCCACTTTCTCGTCGTTTGATTCAAAACGGCAAGCAAAGCATGACTGCTTTTCTTTTATTAGAGAGCAGTCATGTTATGGTAGCTCCTTGGCTTAGTTTAAGTGATCGTGTTCTGGTAAATGGAAATCCATCTTTTCAAAAGGTTCATGGAGAAGATCTTTGGGGCTATACAGCTAAGAATCTTGATCATAGTAATCTTTTTAATGATGCTATGGCTTGTGATGCTAAAGTTATTGTGCCTGCTATTATTGAAGGTTATAGTGAGTTGTTTGATGGTGTTAAATCCATGGTGGATGTTGGTGGTGGGAATGGTACCACCTTGAGCATCCTTGTTAAGGATTTTCCTTGGATTCAAGGAATCAACTTTGATCTTGCACATGTCATTGATGTGGCTCCAAAATATGATGGGATACAACATATGGCAGGTGACATGTTTACAAGTGTTCCCAAAGCTGATGCTGTATTTCTTAAGGTATGTGGTCGGATTCATACGCGAGCTGTTATACCCATGTTTATTATGCATTGATAGACACCAAATACTTCATTATTTAATACTTTTAACTATTAACATTGTTATTAGTAAGGGATCCTATACTAATTAATTGAAGTGTATGCAGTGGGTTTTGCATGATTGGGGGGATGAAGAGTGCATCAAAATCTTAAAGAATTGTAAGGAAGCTATACCAAAAGAAAATGGAAAAGTGATTATTGTTGACGTTGTTATTGAAGAAGGAAGAGAAAAACACAACAAATATGAAGACGTAGGGCTAATGTTAGACATGGTGATGATGGCACATACGAACATTGGTAAAGAAAGAACACTAAAAGAGTGGGAGCATGTGATCCATATGGCTGGATTCAATACAATCACTGTGAAATCTATCAATGCCGTACAATCTGTAATTGTCGCCTCGTGCTAAAATTATGACAAAGGAAGCACTGAAAAATAAATTATTGAGGTGAAATAAAATAATAAAAATATATGGTGTGTCTGTCTTGAATATTTGAACTTTGTTATGTTGAATTTGTATTAGTGTAACACATTAGTGCTTTTGTTTAAGGCTACAAGCCTCTCTGAACTTAATTTATATATATGTCCATTATTGAGTGTGATCCATAGTTGGTTGGTATGTACAATAAAATGTTGGAGTTTCTGTTTCCACCCTTAGTGGTTAAGAGATATCTTTAAAAAAAATTCAAAAAAATATTTAAAATAGTATGAAAATTAACTCCCGGACATTCTTTATATACATCAAAATACTTCTTAAGTGAGTGATTCTTATTTTGACAAAAAATAATATCGAAGTTTATCTCTATAGTATTATGAAATGGCGAGTCTCTAGGTCAAGTTTCAGACTAATCTTTAGACATATTTTAAACTCGTGATAATGTATTTATTTTACAAGTCAATGGATATTGTGGAAATTAAGTTTCGTACTAACCCTGAGAACAATAAATTTCCCTTCTGGGTAGTAATTTTGTTATAAATTTGACATATTTTAATAAACATTAAATTTTAAACATGTTCCTATAAAACACGTTTGGATCACCCGCCGAAAATTAATCCGTGAGATTGCAACTGTATCAGTGTAATTTTGATGTATGTGTGGTTGACTGGAGGGGTTGCAGAGCTTGGGGGGTTTGAGTTGCACGATAAACGCGCATATCAACTCAAGAAAATTGTCTTGCTTGTCCCCAGGTGGGAGCCCCTATTTATATATTTGCGTTTATGACCTAACATCATTAAGAGGTGGCCCTTAGAGTTTCCTCATAATGGTGGGTGTAACACTCTGAATTCTAGATTAATTATTTATTTAATTAATTTAGCGTGAATATATGAGTCGTTGTGAAGTGTTTGATATATTTGATGTTTTAATGATTATGATGGTTATGTGATGTTAATGTGTGTCATGGAGACTATTGGGAATTAAGGGGGCTTTTGATAATTTAGGATAATTAGAATAATTAGTAAGAATTATTTTAATTATATAATTAGAAATAAAATATGATGTAGAGCTTATGAGGACAAGATGGTCATTTGAGAAGAGTTAAGTGGGGGCTATAGTGGAAGACCATATTAGGGGGTCCAAGGGTTAAACAAGAAAAAAAAAAGTTTCATTGTGCCATTCTGTGCATTCGTGAAATTTGGAAGAACATTGTGAAGAAAAGTTAGGGCACAAAGAGACAAGAGGGGCATAGGAATCTCGGTAGAGCACAGAGAGGATTCGATAGCAATAATCTTAAGGTAAGGGGTGTTTATCATTGTTATTATGATCGATCTAAGGTCTAGATAGTTGTAGATTTTGGTGATTTGGTGATTTGATTCAAGGCTTGAAACTTGGTAGAGGTAAACTTGTAAGTCCAACATGAAGTATGAAAGTCACTTTGAGCATTAGAAGTTCAAAAATCCTTGTGCAAACTCAAACCCTAATTTAGGTTATCGGTGCAAGGAGATGTATTGAGCAGAGCAAAACCCTAATCCTGTTTGGAGTTCAAAGAGTATGGTGAGGGGAAATCTTGATAAAATGAGAGGGAAAAGTTTTGGGTACAACAACTGCCCCTGTTCAATCTTCTTGAACCTGAAGAGTTAGATTGGCGAGTTTTCCTTTCGTGGCTTGAAGGTAAAAGATGATTGGAAACTTGAGTGCCCGTAAATTTGCACCCGTCAAAATGTAGCGGAGGGAATGGGCTTAAAGATTCCATTTGGAGATGGTAGAATCTTGCTGAAGATGGGCTTAAAGATTCCATCCAAGACTTGTTTGTTGAAAATCAGGAGAATGAACATCAGCATGGCATCCGTATCTGGAGCGTATCTGAGTTGTATCTGGAGATTGGATCTTTATGAGCGAAGGAATGGTGTCCGTATCTGGAGCGTATCCGAACTGTAATTGTATTTGATTCTTGAATGAATATCAAAATGAATGCCGTGTCTGGAGTGTATCTTTATTGTATCTGAATTCTGAATGGGCGATAGAAAAAACATCCATGTATGGAGCATCTCTGGGTTGGGGATAAGTTTCGAATGAGTGGTAGAATGGAAACCGTATCTGACGCGTATTTGGACTGTATCTGAAGTTGAGATCTGTATGAGTAGAAGAATGACTTTCGTGTCTGGAGTGTATCCGTACTTTAACTGGGATCTGGACAAATGACAGAATAACTTCCGTGTCTGGAGTGTATCTAAACTTGAAGTTGATAGTTGAATCTGAACGAGAAATAGAATGGCTTCCGTGTCTGGAGCGTATCTAGTCTGTATCTGATTGCTGAAGTCTGAATGAGTAGTAGAATGACCGTCGTGTCTGGGGTGT